TTTTTGCGCCATCAGTATGCTTTATATTTTTTTGGACAATTTACGTAAATATGACTTAAACATATCATTTTTCTTTAAATAAGACCAATCTTATCTACTCTAACGTTTGACAATGGAAAGTTCCAAAATGCCATACCTTTGAGAAAAATGACCACTTATACAAATCAAGTAAAATAAGACATTATTTAAAAAGATTTGAATAGTCATTGAAATCATTATCCAATACTTGTTCCTAATGACTACATTCGTAGAGTCATTCGTATAATCAGTCATTATCCAATACTTCTTGCTAATGAGGACATATATATGAGAGATCATATAGAATTATGTGCTATAAAGGGGAAAACATACTTAGTTCTTTTCAAGGAAACATACTATCTTTTAGTCTTATATGGAGCAAAATTTTCTATTTTTATAAGGTGTGTGCTTTCACGCTAAACTTTCAAAAGAATATCATTAGTCCAATATTTTTTAAAATGATGCATGGTTGAAACTTGAAACCATATAAATTTCTCTTAGTTTAACAACGTCTTTAACTAAACTTGAATAAAATTTTTTTTTAAAGACTAATGGTACACTTTAAAAGTTCATGAGGCAAGACACACACTTTATAAAAAGTACTCATTTTAAATATTTAACCAAACTGTTTAAGCAAACACTTTTAATTTATTTTTCAATGAAAATCTCTCTTGTACAGTTGTAAATCCATTCAATTGTTAATTTCAGTTACCCGAACTCCATGATTAGCCTTCATAGTCCAATCCGGACTCTATGTTTTAGACTCTTCTTTTCTTGTTACCAACCAAGAAATTTGGTTAAAATTACAATTGTATTCACACTCCAAATTCCAATAATCAAACTCGAAAATTCCCTCCATTCCTAAAAGAAAATAATTTTTTGGGCGTCCCAAAAAAACTCTCTTTGGCTTACAAATTACACTTTTCTTTATATCACTTTAACCACAGATTTTCACTTTTTTAAAATTTTATGACAAGTCATTAAGAGCATTTTATGGGAGGAAGGGAGTATTTAGATTTAAGACTTATACATCATTCTCAAAACTCCAGCTATCAAGTTCCAGCTAAAGTTATGAGGAAAAGAACATGTCTGATATGATATATACACCAATTCTACACAAAGCATTTTAATTCACACCAATATAAGTCCGGTTCACTAGTTAATTTTAATTCACACCGATATACGTCCGGTTCACTAGTTAATTTTAATTCGCACCAATGTAATCCCGGTTCTGCGCTTTAAATCCTTTTATGAGTTCGATGAGCGAAAGATTGAGGTCATTTCACGACTCAAAGAATGCTCCTTTTCCCCGAGAGATCTTGGTCGTACCATACCTGAGAGAGTGTATATGGTACATCTGGATGTACCTAGAGATATGTACATTCGTGTAGTACTCATTCTGAAGTAAAGTAGTACTTATTCTCGCACAAGCATAAGTTCATTTGAAAAAACGTGGTACTCATTCTGAAATAACGCAGTATTTATTCTGAAATAACGTTATACTCATTTTCACACATTTGTTCAATATTCATTTACGAATAACTAATATTCATTCTAAACCCCAGTAGTACTCATTCCCATATAACCTAGTACTTATTCTTAAACAACATACCATTCATATGTCCTTTCATAAGTTGAAATATGCTACGTGGAAGACAAGATCTATAGCTGGAAGCGGAAGACCATCACCGGAGCAACTGGAAGCGAAATCTCTAGTTGCGTCCACCAGAGCCGATTTGATCAAATCTTCGCATATCCAAGCAGCCTTCAGATCGCAGATCAAACCTTCATCGTCCAATCACCGATCGGACTTCCAAACAACCTCCATCGGAACTTCATCGTCAAATCGCCGATCGAGAATCCAAACAGTCTCCATCGTGCAGCCTTCTTCATCGTCAATCGATTCGCTGGTTCCTGCCGCAATTCTTCATTTCACTCCAATTAAGCACCGGTTGCACGATATAAATTGCGCAAACCTGATGGGATTCAATGTACCATTATTTAAAAAGCATAATAACATGATCTTTGTTGGGGCATTGGACGCCCTAATGTATGTGCTGTTTTTTTCTGCAATTAGTGGATAGCAAGGTGACAGATTAGGTCAATCACATTTCTATGAGTTCCATTAGGAGGTGGGATGATCTGATGTGGCACTTCTTGGCCCATTTTGAAGGAAATTACAGGCCCAAGAAGCACTATACCCATCTTGCGCCCATCCAACAGAAGGTTAATGGGTCTGTAAGGAACTTCAAGGCCTGATGGAGAAAGAAGTCTCGGGAGGTTGTGAGCAATGGATAAAGAATTTCAATTTGGAGACCCATTTCAAGGCCCTATGGAGACCCATTGTGGGATATGCAATACACCATTTTAATTTGGAGACCCAAAGAAGGCCTGATGGAGAAAGAATTTCAAGGCCCCATTTTGAATTGATTATTTTTTTAATTTGGGCTTCCTAAACAATTGATCATTTTGAATTCAATTTTTAACTCACTAGAACTACTTGGTAGTCATGATTGTTCTACCTCCAGTTTAAAGAAACCCTAACAATTCCCAGCAGCAGCTATATACATGAAGTCTGTATTTTTACTGGATTTACATCAAAGGATGCCCTAAAAGGTATGTACTTATTTGCTATATATGCGATAGACCACTTGGACAAAAACTTTGATTTGCTATGCGAACAACGCATGAAGGCTACTGGTCGAGCAAACAAACAACCAAAATTCGATGGCGAATGACTCCCACGCGGGACGGCTAAAAAACGGGCATGTTGCCAAACTGAGATTCGACGACCGATCCCATAAACTAACATGTCATACATACGGCTGATTGCAACAAGATACCAAAAAGGAACCAAAAAGATTGTCATAAAAAACGTCATTAAAATTGGCTCAGTCTTGGTACGAACACCTTCACAGGAGCACGAACAATGAAAAACTAATACCAACTTGTGATGTCAAATTGGGGAGCAACCAAAGAAAATCAGCAGAACAAAACAAAGAAAAATACAGAGTAGCACAACGATGTGTAAATGAAACTTATGGAGACGCCACAAGAACCGACAGCGATGCCGATCAATTTTTTTTATAGTTATACTTAAAAAAAGAATTGATTAGATTTTGGTGATGAAAGTTGATGGTGATGCCTTCGTCGCTGGAAAAGCACAGCGACGGTAGCAGAAGTAGAAGCTACAGACTATAGCAAACTAGGGTTTACGCTTTCCGAGGTTAGCTTAGATACTATTGAATAATTGAACAATTGTGTTGATGGTAAAACATGAAAAATACAAGTGTGTATATATAGAGAGGATTCCAAACATACTAAGGAATCAGAAAAGGTAATTGACGAAAATATAAAGACTCTCATAAATAATGCTGAGTATGTATCTATTATGATTGTCTAACATCCCCCCTCAAGCTGAAAAGTGGGTAACGAGTGGAAACTTGGACACAAGACTCGGGAAGCGTGGCAATGGAGGGACATAATTTAGTCAGCAGCTTAGCTAGTTGATCCTAAGAAAAAACATGTGACACACTCATTGTTCTAGCGATAACTTGTTCTCGAAAAAAGTGACAATCAGTTCCCACATGTTTCATATGGTTATGAAAAATAGGATTCTTGGTAACGCATATAGTAGAGTGATTATTAAAAAAGGATGAGGTGGAGGAGTGGAGATACGAAGATAAGTCAAAATATAAGTTAACACATAACATCAGATGCTGTAGGAGACATAGCTCAGTATTCAGCCTAAGTGGATGACCTAGACACACGGATTTGTTTTTTTGTACTCCATGAAATCAAGTTCGGCCGCAATTATATAAGTAGTAATAATCCGTTTATCTTTTAACGTGTACCATAAAAAGGACTGCATTTGGAAAATTTATGAATACCTGTAGGACTACTTATTGACTTTTGGAACTTGAAGGACTGTATATAGAGGGTTATGAATACTTGAATACTATTTATGGACTTTGAATTGAATATTGGGTAATTTTGAAACATATCGTAAAACTTTGTTCTATAGTTTTTGTTTTGAATTAAGTGATTGTGTAGCCTTCATCGATCAATATTAACACATGACCAAGGGTAGGTTCAGAGACAAAATGATTACAAAGTTCACAAACTTACAATTTATGCTTTAAAGGCTAAAATCCACCATTAGTCCTTCAACTTCGTGAACAGTGTACAGTAGGTCCTTCAAGTTTCAAAAGTTCATAAATAGTCTTTCAAGCATTCAACAACCTCCAAACCTAGTCTTTCAAGTTTTAAAAGTCCATAATTAGTCTTTCAAGTATTTATTAACTCTCCAAATGTGGTCTTTTTTATCGTACACGTCAAAAGCTCCATATATATAACTTCTGACCTGTAATGGGTGCGAGATGCAACTAGCTCCGTATATATAACTTTCACCTCAGTGCCAGATACAACTTTCGACTTGCAATGGGTACCCGACATTGGCCCCGTCCTCCGAGCAGTGCAGCACAGTGGATCTTTTCCTCCCATTGTGAATCTTGGAGATTATTTTACTTCAAAAGGGGTTCAATTTGTTTAGTAAAGAACACTAAACTTTGAATGGAATTATGGAAACCCATTAATTCCCTATACGTAAAAAACAATCGCCTTCGCATATGTACAAGTACTTCGTATTATATATACGCAGTAATAATCCATTTATTTTTTAACGTGTACCGTAAAAAGTACTGCATTTGAAAGATTAATGAATACATGTATGATTACTTATTGACTTTTGAAACTTGAAAAACTGTATATAGAGGGTTATCAATACTTGAAGGACTATTTGTGAATTTTTAAAACTTGAAGGATCAATCGTACATTGAATGGCCAATCACAAATTTTAGCTTGGTTTAAATTATCATTTTTAAAATTATGCATTTTTGTTAACACACTTGCATGATTTCACAATGAAATAGTGGGTGTGATGCTAGTTAATAAAAAAAATTTGGTTAAATGGGCAGAAAATGACAAATACTTAAAATTTATTTCTGGGTACAAAAAGACAATGAAAAATAAAGGTGGGATCAAACTAGATGATGATGGTGATGATGATCGTGCCTCCGGGTAAAGCTGGAACCAGAGGAATCATACGCGCCGTCGGCTTCCCCGAACGACATCCGGAACCCCATATCCATCTGCCCCAAATCGCCGTCGAATCGCTGGCTAACAGATTCCGGCGAGATCATCGACCCCGCCGCGCTCCGGTTCGTCCGGCAATACTGCTGCACCACCAGCACGGCGAACGACGACTCGAACTCCGACGTCACCAGCAAGTCCCCCACGGCCCCGATCTCCGGGCACTCGCACCAATCCGCCAGCCCGGAAGTCAGCGGCGACGACCCCACCCCTCTCCCCCGCCCCACCACGTACAGGTCGTAGTTCCGGCCGTCCAGCGACTTCACCGCCTTCGTGAACTCCTCCTCGTCCTCCAGCGCCAATTCCACGAACGTGACCGCCGGGTTCTCCGCCGTCGCCGTTTTGAACCCTCTGAGGAAATCCTCGTCCGCCGTTTTCTCCAGATCGGCGTCATCCACGCCGATGGACACGAAGCTCTGCCCCTCCTCTGCCTCCCCGTCGGTTCCTTCTTTCCCGGGAACAAACCTGATGACGGTCAGGCGAACGTCGGGGTGGCCCGACATCCGCTGGGCGTAGGTTAATGCCTCCCTGTCGTCGGGGCCTCCGAGGTATAGCATGGCAATGTTCTTCGACCGATCCGGACGGCCGCCGCGTTGTATCAAGATCCCGACGGAGCAAGGGGCGAAGTTGAGAACCTGTTAGAGGGAAAAAGATTCTATCACAAAATCATACACCATAGAATCTATGAATTTCATACTATTCCTTTAAAACATTCACTTTGGACAAAAATAAAGAAACTATAATTTTGGTTGATTTTTAAATTTTGTCTTTGATGTGATGGATAAAAGTAAGATGTGATAGTTTTGTTATTAGTAAAAAAATATGATGTGATATGTACGATATAAAAAAATAAGAATAAAAGTGGTTTTTTAATAGAAATTATAAATGTTTTAGAGAATTCAAAAAAAGGAGAGGAGGAGAGTTGGTTGTATGGAAGTAAAAATATCATCACCTCCTCGTTCACACTCTGAATCGCCGGATCAGCCTCCTCGATATCCCCGCCGTCGCCGAGCTGTTTATGGAAAGGGAGGACGACGAGAGACGCCCGCTTCTCCACGGCGATCCTGCAGATATCCTCCGCCATTGTCGCGAACGCCGACTTCGCCGTCAAGACCTGAGTGCTCACCCCCTCCGACCGGAGCTCGAAGTTGTCGAACGCGCTGATGATCTGCCCCGTCTGCGCCTCTTCGTTGGTCAGGTTCTTGTGCCCTCCGGCCGCCGCCCGCCGCCCGGAGCCCGAGCTGTGGACCACGAGCATCGCCGGAGCCCGCCCCACGACCTCCAGCAGCTGCACGCCGTAGGCGGCGAGGGGGGACGCTTTTGTGGGGTTAGAGGTTTCCAGGAGGCTGATCACTCCGGCGACGTTGCCGGTGCCGTGGATGCACGCCATGATTCTCAGCTCCTCCCCTGGTTTCGCCATTTGTATGGTCCTACGTTTGTAGGGCACCATGTTTTGTGTGGGACACAATATGGCCGTCATGGGCGTTACGGCCATTGTCATCACCAATGACGCAATCACCATTATGGTGAATGCTTGCGTGCTCAAAACCTGCCCAAATTAATAAAAATAAATGTGATGGGTTGGGTTAATAATGAAAATTAAAAGTGAAATTTATGTTAAATAAGGTTAAAATGTAAGTCATTTCTCTGTAGTACTTAAACTTTTTTATTTTCTAAATAGTACTCCCTCTGTTCCTGAAAATCTTCTCCTAATTTCTTTTTTCATCCGCCTCAAAAAACACTTTTTAATTCTATTAAAAATCACTTTTACCCCTTACTTTTTCATACTCAACTTATCACATTATACCTTTTACTAATAATCTATCCATTATCCATCACATCAAAAGACTTTTTTAAAAAAAAATTCAATACCAAAGTACAATTCCTTTAAATATCTTAAAAATCAATAACTCCCATGTTTTTAGAATCGGAGAGAGTACTTAATAAAGTCTCGCGGGATGAATAATGTTGACAGATGTCGGACATTTACTTGAATAATGATTAATGGATGATGACCAATGGTCCTACATTGAGAAATAAAAATATACTTTCTCCGTTCTATAAAAGTATTCCTATTTTGACTTTGTGTAAAAATAAGGAAGTGTTAAATTGTAGTTGACTTCCATTTTTTGCCTTTGATGTGATGGGTAAAAGTAAGATGTGATGGATTGAGTATTAAAAAAAGTATGATGTGATAGGTAGGATATGAAAAAGTAAGGGTAAAAGTGATTTATTAATAGAAAGTGGAAGTGTTTTGTTGGAAGTAAAAAAAATAAAAGAGAAAGAGTTTTTGAGAACGGAGAGAGTATCATTGAAAGTGATTATGTTTTATTGGTAAATTCCCCAAAATAAAAGTGAAAATATTTTTTGAAATTGAGGATATGTATGGATTGTACCTGTTCTACTTGGCCGATTTCAAGGATGACCATGACCATGACACTTTTGGTGTTAGTGAGCACGCCGACGCCGATCGCCTCCTTCGTCGTCATGCCAGTCAAACAAGAAGCGAAAAGTGCGGCGACAACCTTCGCTGCGCAGGCGAGTAGAATGAGGACTAGGACGGTGCCGATGCCGGTCCCGCCGTCGGTGATGACACGGACATTGGCCCTGAGCCCACAAACGACGTAGAAAATGGGCATCAGGATCCCCGTCACCCAATCCTCGAGCCTGTCCAGGATCTCGTTCTCGAGGACCTGGTCGGGAATGACGAGGCCGAACAGGAACGCCCCGATCATCGGGTGGGTCCCGATCGCGTCCATCGCGCACCCGGACATCGCCACCCCGACCAGGACGGCGGAGATGTAGAACTCGCTATACCCTTGTCCCTCCGGCTTCTTCCCGATGACCCACTCGAGGCCCGGCCGCACGTAGTGGACGCAAAACGTCACGTACACGGCGGTGCATATCAGGGCCCACGGGAAGTTCGACGAACTCCCCGTGATCATCAGTGCGAGGGAGAGGAAAAACCACGACAACGCGTCATTGATGATCGCGGAGGACACGGCGATTTTGCCGACTTCGGTGTGGAGGGCCTTTTGGGAGTCGAGAATTCCGACTAAGGCGGGGAAGCCGGTGACGGTGAGGGCAACGGCGCAGTAGATGAAGCCCGCACGTGTTCCGGTGGTGCCGGGGAGGGCGAAGAACAGGGCGGTTCCGGCGAAGAAAGGGAAGATTGTGCCGGAAACGGCGACGACCTTGGATTTGGCGGCGGTCTTCCAGAGGGGTTTGATTTCCATTTGGATGCCGGCGATGAAGGCGTAGAGGACAAGGGCAAAATGGGCCATTGTCTCAATGACTTCAAAATTGTAGTTGGGGAAAATTACCCTCCGGAATCTGTCTATCCTTCCAAACACACTCGGCCCCAAAAGTAAACCACTCTGCCACAACATTAAAAAAAATAGTTTAATTACCATGCAATTATACAATTTATTCGAAGTTATTTTCAAATTAATTTATTTAAAAATTAGAATAAAGTTAAAAAAAATAAAATTTGCAGGCGCGTTCGGGAATAGCGTTTTCGATTAGCATTAGCGTTTTGGATAAAATCTTAACAATACAAATTAATTTTGAAAATGCTAACGCTAAACGATACCCGTTGATAGTGTTTTCAAAACGCTAACGCTAACGGATTCCCAAAAAGGCCCTACATATAATAAAAACTACTCAGTATAATTTATTTTGGAAACGTACTAAGATATCAGCAACAATGGGAGGTTGATTGAAGGGTTTGAGGGCGAAATGAAGAATGCGGGAGGCGAAAATGGCGACCATTATTTGGAGAAGGAAGAGGGGGATGATGGGGGTGAGGGGGTCGGGGCCTTCCCACACCCCGTTCGACCGGTATATCGTCTCCGACAAGCACACCACCATCTCCCCCAGCTTCTCCAGGTCGACTTCTGGCCCGGTCTCCGGGGGCGGGGGCGGGGCCAGAGCGGACATTGCGGCGGCGTGGGCTGTATATATGCCTCAACAAAAGGTTATGCCTTTTTCACTGTGGACACAACCGGCGGGGTCGGTGGCGGCGTTGCGTTCCTCCTCCCTACAGGGCAAAAAAGAACCACCACCGGATATCTACTCCGCCGGTTGCCGCATTGGGTGGTGTATGTGAAGAATGGGAGCAAAAATATTGAGGGCGTGGCGGAGAAGGATAATGAGGGAACACCGATCATATTTCTGCCGCGGTCATTCATTCCGCCACAAGTGAATGGCTCTCCGATCTATTAGGATTATGTTTTTTTTTATCTTGTTCGGTTCTCTTTTACATATGTATACATTTTGTTATGAAATTCTCGTTTTGTTTTTAAAAGATAGCACATTTCTTTATGTAAGTTGAATTAATAACTACAACACCATTTGATTTTAGTTGATTATGTGAATCACATTTTGGGTCCTCTTCGAGGAGTTTTAAAATGCTCATATTGAATGAGTTCTGAAATTTAAAAAAATGTATAAATTCTGAAATTTGAAATAAAAATGTATGAAAAATTGACTGATAACTGTGACTCGCTGGCGAAGGTGGTGGTTGATGATGGGGGTGTCCAACAACGACCGAGGGCCACGAGGGTGGATTGCCGGGAGCAGTGGCGGGTGATTAAGAAAATTTTTAAAATTTGGAATCGAATTAATGTCTCCCAAAGTAAAATATATCAAAACAACGTCATTTGAAAGTATTATGACATTGAGAGAGATTAATTTCAAACCATATTTGGACCAGGATTTTTGCCCAGGCCAGACTTTGAATCGGCAAGGAGGCCGGGTGAGGTTGGACCGAACCAGTTGTGTGTCTAGGTTGCAGTTGAACCGGTTCGACCATCTGGTATGGTTAGGATTTAACAACACTGATGTAAGCTTTATCAAACACCAACAAATGGGTTCATATAACACACCCTCCGTCCCAAAATGATTTATGTCTTTACTATCACGGTCTTTCGATAATTTTTGTTTGTTTACATATTTTTATTAATCATTTGATAAAATAAAATATTCTAGTAACTTCTTGTTTTGTAGTAAAACTCTTGATGTACTTATTAATTATATAATTTTTATCTTTTATTTCTATAACAATTAAATAACATCATGTTAAAAGCGGCAAATTTTAAACATTCAACAGAGAGTTTAATTCATTTAAGAACGACGATAGTAGAAAATTTTAAAACTCGTATCTTCTAAACTCAAAAGACATGTCCTTAGAAGGCTTAGAGTAAAATAACATGCAATAAAGTTGAATTTGGATGAGTTTTTTTAATGCTATTAACTCTATTACAAGACAATATCTGTTCATACTATTTTCAACCTAATGACGACCAAAGAATCAATGCTTCGCCTCTGCTGGGCTCGAACCTGAGTGAATTTCTCCATGAATTCAGGGGAGTGAGCTTGCTATCAATCAAGCCATGTGAGAAGTTCGCAATAATGTTGAATTTGGATGAGTTTTGATAAGGTAAAACCCCTAACGACGAAGTGACTCTAATAATAATTACTACTGGAACGAAAACCAGGCGTATGCTGGTTTTGGAATGTGACATTGGATGAAATTGTGTACGAATAAGGCCCAATCAATTAAAATTTTCAACTCAACTCATATGGAATTATCATTTGATCCAGAATTAGGACCCATCTCGAATTGTCATTTGATCATATGACAATTCAAGATCAAATGATAAATTTGCGCTTCAAGACCCAACTATTTTTGGGACAATTACTCTACCCCAATATTTTTATTATTTTTTACTTTTACCATATGTCCCACTCTTTTTCTCTCATACGGAGTATCATATTTGGTCATATTTGTGTGGTTCATATTCTTTCTTATTTTATCTTACTTTTTAAAAAAAAATTTATGTAAAAAGGCCCATAAAAATAGAATGCCCCAAAGTGCATACAATCACTCTAGGAGAAAATGGGGGTGTGCAATGGCATTTGAATGAGGCTCTATCAAGTAAAAGTCACAATTCTAAATCAAGTGACTCATACCAGCAATTATAGGCCCAAAGAAAAACAAGTGTGAAATGATTTATGCTTTGAATAAAGAATTAAAGACTTTTCATCCCTTATTACTCACTTGAAATAAGAGCTTCAATTACGTGCTCTCAAGTATTTTGTTCGGGTCAGGCATGAGGGGCCTTCGAGGATGGGGTCATCCTTTATTTAGAAGGGAGAAATAGAGCAAACCAAGTGCAGTCAGTATACAATAGTACATAGTACGCTTCATCTATGTGAGAATTATTACAAAAGAAAAACTATAGTTCACCAAAGGGACAGCTACTCCCAATATTCACTCTTAGTCTCACACCAATCCTAATGACCAACAACCTAATTAACAATGTTGTCATTTCATGTTTCTTGTGACAAAATGTACAAAAACTTGAAAAAGGACTACAAAGCTATAATGCCCCTTCTATATTTCACCGTAAACACGAAAGGGAAGCACGTAATGATTAAATATGCAAAGATTGGATGGACAAAAGGGTCAAAATAGAATACCTTCTGCTAATCATCGAAAGCAGAGTCGTCTTCATCCTTTTCGAATTCCCCATTTTCCTAGAATGTCAAGAATTTTATAAAATGAGCAATCCTTCTAGTTAAGGGTCTGTTCTTTTCAACTTATATTCATTTCAGTACTTTCTGTTTACTTCTCCACTTTCCGTTTCAGTATATTTAAGTCGAAAATAATAGACCTCAAGTGTTTAAGATGTGTGTGTCGTCATAAAATAAACTTTATATGAACCATATTAACAAGCTTACCTTTCTTTTGTTATAGTCTGCCATAGCTATATCAAACTCTGTTCGTTTCCTTGTAGCAATATCATAATACCGGACTTTTTCCTGTTGTCAAGAATAAGAGGAAGTTAGAAATCCTACCATCCAAGAGCCAAAATGACATGGAAGGTTATAATCTCAGAAGGGTCGCAAGATGAAAAGCTTGAAAATATCATCCCTGTGAGATGATTTGAGAGAGAAACCAGTGCCGCGAGGCTCACCATTTTCTGATACACATATGCTTAGAACTTGAATGTCTAAACGTCAGATGAAAGTTTTATCATATATGCTCTAGCTAAGTACTCCCTCCGTCCCAGAAAACATTTCCAATTCGAAAAATGGCAGGCTTTAAAAATTTGTAATTTTGGAGTTATTTTCTAATTTCTAATTTTTTTTATCCTACGTTATTATAAAGTAAGGGCAAAGTTAGAAAATAACACCAAAAATTACACATTTCTAAAGCCCGTCTTTTTTCAAGTGGAAAATGTTTTATATGCCAAATAACAAATACTTAAAAAGAAAATGGATGAATCAGGAGAGCGCAAAACAGGCATCATGATTAATATAAATATAATTTTGAAAGCAGTACCATGTAATTGTAGATTTAGCACCACAGTTTCAAGTTTGGATATTCTAACCTCATAAGTCATAGTTTTCCACTTCTCTCCACAAGCCTTTCCAACCTAAAGCATAAGCAGTATGTGAAAATGTCAAATAAAGACATGAAGGCAAATAGAGACCAAAAAAAACTGAAGTATGCTTATTGAATGCGTACATCACGCATTGACTTGACCTCCGGATTCTTTGCCTGGAATTCCTTACGAAAATCCTCCCTACGGAAAACAGACATTGGTTTCTCTCAGCAGTTATCTCAAAGATAAATTTTTGAAATGCTTCAGATCTAAGACACTAATAACATTTTATGGTTGTCCAGCCCAAAGACAACCGAGTAAAGCCCACTTGGATGTTGGGTCTTTGGGAGCAAGATGTACGCTGACATTAACTCTACCACAAGTAGTACAGGCTTAAGGCTGTTCCCAAGAAGACCAGAAAAAGCTAAAGCTTTTGCATTGAACGATAAATGATATCAAGGAGCAACTATATGTGTTTAAAATGATATGGCCATGAATCAATCTAGAATTTGCAGATCTTTATTAATCGGTCACTTTACATGTGACATGGCCTGAGAATAACCATATTCACTTTACCTAGCAGGGCTTATATCTTAAATTCTTAATTATATCACAAAATAAACTATACTCTCTGGAATAGTATCTGCCAAACAGAACCTAAGACAGGAATTCTAATCCATGGGGTCAACTGCCGTACGCAGCAATGAGGTAGGGTGGGAATGAATGAGTGCTTTTCTTGATACTGTGCTCACTATGATTGCATGTGCTTCTATGTTTAAGCTGGTGGTTTCTTGAAAACAAACTCTCTACTACCATGTAGGAGTAAGGTCTGCGTACATGCACCTTCCCCAGACCCTACTTCTAGTGGAACTTTTGTTGGTGGTGGTGGGTGGTGTCAGAAACTTACAGTGTGTTTGGTTGGAAGGAAGAGAGAATGCTCCCCTCTTCTCATTTAGAGAATGGAGGAGCTAAAATTCTCCCTCTCCTCCCCCGGTCTCCCCACCTTCCAAATGTGAGGAGACGGTTTTTTTTTTTTCAAATTTCCATTAATTAATGGAAATTTCCCAAATATAACTAACATAAGGAAATGCAAACAGATAAAATGAGCAGAAAATATACAAATTAAAATATATTTTAATTTTTAAATCAACACATTTTCCCACTGAAAATTTAAAAACAAACATTCATATAGTAGAGAGGCAATATCAATCCCTTAAAAACTAAGCACACAAAAATAAAAATGATATGAGACTCTGAGGCACCAATAACATACAAGTAGAAGAAGAAAGCAGTTGGGGGTTTCTTGGGCATATTGGAGTCTGATTTGGTCACTTTCTTTGACGTCGTTTTACGCTTCCATGATGCCCGGCTCGGGACAGTTCTTCTCCGGCGTCCTTCAATTGACGTGGTGGTCTTACTTTCAGCACCATCTTCCTGAACTTAATTCATGATATTACGAAACAGATCATGAGCGAGTGTTAGAAAAGTGAAAGTGGATGAGTTTGGATCAGGTAAATAGCTCCAACTCTGACCAAGTGTTAGAAATGTGAAACTGGATGTTCCAGTCTTCATTATTACTCCTTATAAGACAATTGGGGGTGAAGTCATGTTTGGATGGCATCCGGTCTAATAAGGGTCTCAATTCTTTAGTTCATCTTAATTGTAAGTTGATTTAAAATTGGGAATTTACCTCTTCCAGTCAACCTGAATGTGATTTCATCTTAAAAGGTTTCCTGATAGATTAAAATTAACTTTGTAGCATCCAATTTCACATTCCTAACAGTTCTCTATTTTCGAATGGGCATTCGGGTAGTAATTGTTGGTAAGAATCACTTGGTCCAAAATTGAAGCCTTTACTTGATTAGACCACATCCGAACACCACGGTTTCACTGCTTCACCCACAATTGTCTTCTAATATGTTCTAATGAAAATTTAAAATTCCTGAGGTAATCCTGACACTAACCCATTTGTGGTCTGAACCATCCGACGTTTGGGTTGTAACTGACAGTATGAATCACTTGGTCTAAATGAGGCTTTTACCTGATCAACCTCGTCCAAAGACATGTTCATCTCTAATTGTCCTCTTAGTGGTTATAATGAATAGTGGAACATTTAATTTTACATTCCTAACACTTACCCCCGTGAGACGGGATGTCCTGTAGTAATTGCCAATTTGATTCATTGGGTGATTTGGGTCTAGGATTGGGTTTTTACATGATCAAACCTCATCCAAATGCAACAACATGCCCAATTATCTCTAACTTGTTATGATAAATATTGTAGCACTTCAAATACTACATAAATGTCCAATTGAACATGGTTGAATAATGAGATGTGAATTTGGATGTTCCTGTGTCCATTAGAACTCCTTAGGAGACAATTCGGTCTACAGTTGCATTTGGATGAGGCTCAATAAGATTAAAATTGACAATTCTAAATCAAATGATTCATACTAGAAATTATGAGCCGAATATTCAATCAAACATAGACAAGTGTTAGGAATGTGAAATTGGATATTTCAATTTATTCGTCCTTATAATTTTTTCGTCCTTGTTGATTGACGAAGAAAAACTAGCATTAAAAGAAAAAGAAGTTGTCTCTCTATCCCTTTCCGGACATGTTCTTTTCAACTTTTCAACAAAAACTTAAGAAGGTCAGGTTAAACCAAATACTGGGAGCCACGTTTTTTTTCCTTTTGTGATTGAACATGTAATGAGTCAAGATGCAAAAATTGGATGGAATTGTAAGGGATGAACCGGCGAATGGTCAAAATAGGATACCTTGCATTAATCATCGAAACCAGAGTCATCTTTGTCCTCTTCAAATTCCCCATTTTCCTGAAATGCCTAGGATTTTATAAAATGAGCAATCCTTCTAGTTAAGGATCTGCTCTTTTCAACTTATATTCAGTTCAACACTTCCCGCTTATTTCTCCGCTTTTCACTTGAGTAAACTTAAGTAAAAAATAACAGACCTCAAAGTGTTTCAGATGTGTGCTGCATCGTAAAACAAACTTTACATAAGCCACATGAACGAGCTTACCTTTCTTTTGTTATAGTCAGCCATAGCTCTATCAAACTCTGTTCGTTTCTTTGTAGCAATATCATAATACCGGACTTTTTCCTGTTGTCAAACATAAGAAGTTAGAAAGCCTACCATTCATTTCCGACCTGCTGATTTCGTTGTCTCAAGAGCATGAATTACATGGAATGTTATAATCTCAAATAGATTACAAGATATAACCCCTGAAAATATCATCCTTTAACACTATGTCAGGTTCGGAGAATTAGGAAGAAAAATGAAATGCTAAGGGAAAAAAATTAAAGAAACTAAAAATACCATTTTCCTTTGGTTGGTGAAGGGAGAGAGAGAGAGAGAGAAGAGTTTGTTGTTTTCTCTAGTTTTCCTCACAAAATGGAAGGAAAATTACTTAGCCGTTTTTTACTTTGCATTTTCCTAACCTTTTCGTTGTTTTCTCTGGCTTTCCTCACAAAATGGAAGGAAAATCACTGCCATTTTGACTTTGCATTTTCCTAACTTTTTCTTTTCCTCATAAATTTCTTTTCTTTCCCTTTTTAACCAAACACCAAAATTACTTTTCTTTAACATTCTTTTCCTTTCCCTTCTGGATTTCCTTGAACCAAACAAAGTATTCAAATAATTTGCGAGAGTAATCTAAACCAAGTCATGAGGCTCATCATTTTTTAATTCACACATTCTAAGAACATTGAATATCTAAATGTGGGGAGAAACTTTTATCATATATGCTCTAGTTAAGCAAAAGCTTGTGAAGATAATATCTTCAAATGCCAAAAACAAATTCGGAGTATCTAAAAAAGAAAAACGAACGAATGGGGAAAGCGTGAAACACAAGGCGTCATGATTACAACATATCGATACAATTTTGAAAGCAGTACCATGTAATTGTAGATTTTAGTATCACACTTTCAAGTTTGGATGTTCTAACCTCATAAGTCATAGTTTTCCACTTCTCTCCACAAGCCTTTCCTACCTAAAGCATAAGCAGTATGTGAAAATGTCTAATAAAGACATAAAGATAAATGAAGGCAATGAGAGACAAAAGAAAAAGTGACAGATGCTTATTGAGTGCGTACATCATGCATTGACTTGGCTTCAGGATTCTTCTCCAAAAATTCCATACGGAAGTCCTCCCTGCATAAAACGGACATTGGTTTCTTTCAGCAGTTATCTCAAAGATAACCTTTTTAAAGTGCTTCAATCTAAGACACTAATAACATCTTATGGTTGTCCAGCCCAAACAAACGCCGTAAATCCCACTCAGAAATAGGGCCTGGGGAGGGTAAGATGTAAGCTGAGATTACCTCTACCCTAAGTAGTAAAGTCTGTTTCTCATAATATTAAAAACAGTTAACCTTTTACATTAAACGATAAATGATATCAAGGTGAACATATATGTTTCGCATGATATGGCCGTAAATGAATCTAGAAATTACAAATCTTTCTTAATTGTTCACATTACATGTGATTTTGTATATAGCTCTCTGAGAAGCAAAACATAAGATATGAATTCTAATCCATGTGCTCAACTGCCCTAAGTAGCAATGAGGCAATGCGGTTATGAACTCTTGTATTTGAATCATGGTTCTAGCAATATTAACTAATGTTGTTAGAAATGGTTTGTGTGCTTTTTGTCTGTTTGCCTCTTCGTTGTCCTCAGTTTGTGTTTGCTTCTTGCCTTCTTCTTTGTTCTTTTTCTGTACTTTCTTTGCTGCTCGAACAGGGATTTCTTGGAAACAACCTCTCTACTTTCAAGTAGGGGTAAGGTTTGTGTACCTACACCCTCCCAAGACCCCACTCTTTCTGAAATTCTACTAGGTTTTTTGCTGTTGAATAACAATGCATAAAAGTGCACAAAGTAAAATCTCCAACAAGTGGTTTAACTCAACATGTAATGGCCATCTAGCTAATGCAATATATAAGGGGATAGGAACACATGGAGGTCTAAGATTAGAGTAGTTGAGTAAACATTTGGACCTTAGTTTGAAGCATGTAGTTTGCCTTGGCATGTAACTTTAGTTTGTGATACGGTCATGCGGATATGTATCAAGATATTGAGAAATTGAGGAAGGAGAAAGGAAAATTTCAGAGAGAAGAGAAGAAACAGAGATGTGTGAGAGAGAAGATTAGGGTTTGGGAGAAGTATTTTCTTATTGATTTTTTGATAACCCTAATAGCTAGAATGCTAGATACATGGATATTTCTAGATGAAATACCTAACTTAACCCTAATCATGGTAAAAACTCTAATATTAATAAAATTATAATCTTGTCCATTCAATAAAAGCATCAAAGTAAAAATTCGAAAAAGAAACCTTTGAAGAAGTGTTATAATTTCACTCAATAAAATATAAATATATGAAAAAAATAAACTATTAAAAACTAAATAATATAAATTATTTAATTAATTCTTATGTATTAGTCTGTGCTCTCTGTGATTTGGGTCTGAGTTGCTAGTGTTAACATGAGTGCTTTCTTTGTTCGTATTATTGGTCTTGTTTGGGAACATCGTTTTCGATTAGCGTAAGCGTTTTGGATAAAATTATAATGGTGTAGATTAATTTCGAAAATGCTAATGCTAAAAGCTACCATCGGATAGCCTTTCAAAACGCTAACACTAATCTTTAACGCTGATGCCAAACAGGACCATTGTCAAGCTGGGGATTTCTTGAAAACAAACTCTCTACTACCGGGTAAGAGCAAAGTCTACGTACACGGACCCTTCCAGCCACTACTTGCTTGTAAAACGTTTTTGGGTTTATTGATGTTGGTGGTGACGTCGGAAACTTAGGGGGCATGTTTCGTTGGAAGGGCGGTAGAATGCTCGGCTCTTCTCGTTTCGAAAATGGAGGACCTAAAATTCTCACTCTCCTCCCCGTCTTCCCACCCTCCAACTGTTGAGGATGGGAGAATTATTTTTTTTTCAAAATTTTCTATAATTATTGGGAACGTCCCGAATACAAGCACCATAAGGAAAAGCATACAGATGAAACCAGCAAAAAAAATATCAAAATCAAAATATGTTTAAAATCGACACTTCTTTTTCACTGAAATTTTACAAGCATTCACAGAGTCGAGAGACAATATCAATCACTTAATAAATAATAAACACACAAGAAAATAAAAATTACGGAGTATTAATATGAGACTCTGAAACAAAATACCATACAGGTACAAGAAGAAAGCAGATGGTGGTCTCTTAGGCTTATCGGAGTCTGATTTGGTCACCTTCTTCGAGTTTGAACCATGTTTGTCGGTGAGAGCTGGAGATTCCGGTGACAGTGCCGGAGACTCTGATCTTTTCTCTGCCATTATTAAGGAGGCGTCACAAAATTCCTCAATTCGGTGTGCGAGTAGGACAAATAAGGCTGCATTATTCTTATTAAAATCACATAGATGAGATTTTAACAAAAATATTATTATTATTATCATTATTATTACTATTACTATTGTTATGATTATCATTACTATTGGTATTATGATTATTGTTATTATTATTCTTATTACTATTATTTATATTATTATTATTATTATTACTCTTTCCGTCCTAAAATAATATTCACAATTATTAATTACATGGTGAAAATTAAATTACTTTTTTTATTTATTTTTATTAGTTATTTGATAAAATAATATAGTTATGTCACCTCTTATCTTATATAAATTTTGATGTAATTTTGAAATATATAATAACTATAATTAAATAAATCAAATTAAAAAAAAATCAATCAAAACTCGTAAATCGAAGAGGAAAAATCATTTTATAACGGATATAGTATTTTTTAAATGCATAAACCCCCCAACTTTATTATGTATTATTATTATTATCATTTATTATTGTTGTTATTATTATTATTTTATCATTTATTATTATTATTATTGTTATTATTATTATTATTATTATTATTATTATTATTACTACTACTATTACTACGACTACTACTACTCCCTCTAAGGCACCAGCAAAGTACTTGTTCTCCCCCACGTCTCTCACGCATCACCCTCATGTTCTCAAGTTGTGGGCTTATGGCATGTTAGAGTTCTTCCATGCTTGTTGAGCCACTAGCGAGACACTCCCCTCTCCCATTTTTTCTTGTTTGTTTTTTTAAATTTTTAATGAAAAAACAAGCTATTTTTAAAAATAAAATATAAGTATATTTGTGATAAAAATGATACCCTTAAATAATACTCAAGGGCTGTTTGTTTCAGCCTCTCAATGGTTCAGATGTCTAAATGGTTCAGCACTTAATGGTTCAGACTGTTTGTTTCAGCCCCTTAATGGTTCAGATGTCTGAATGGTTAAGAGATTTGCCTCTGAATGGTTAAATATTATACAGAGTCTGAATGGTTAAGACCTCTTATCTGAATTGATCAGACATTTGCCCCTGAATAGTTAAGTAATATACTAGCTCTTAATGTTCAGACCTCTTACTGGTTCAACATTTAAAAGTTCAAATCTCCTACTGGTTCAGCACTTACCTATTCAGAAGTTGCCAAAGAGACCCTCAATCTCTCCATAAACTCATCATCAGTTTTTGAAAGTTCGGTTGAAGTAACCAAACACGCCCTTACTTTTCCCGCCAAAGCAATTCATTAAACCATCCATTTCCCGCCAATTGCAAACCCTAGAATTGAACAATCGAAGGGGGAACGTTTCTTCTCCGCAGAAGAGAGAGAACAAAGCGCAGATTCAACTCCGTCTTGACTGGCTCAGGTATGTATGTTTCCAGGCTTCTAACTCCGTCTTGGCTCAATTCCCAATTATTAACTTCCGCCCGAGACCGCCGACTAGTCACCGTGCATTTCAGAACACTGTTCATACTCTTTGATGTTTTGCGAGGTTTTTCCCAAACAAAAAAAAAACAATCTTTGCAACGATTTCGTTATGGAAATAGAATTTTTGCCTTGCAGATTCCACATCTAGTGCAGAAAAGAACATAGGTCAAAGGATCAGATGGATTTGAGCGATGACATCAGGGCTGCGCACAAGCGAACTTTTCTCAAGTTCTTTGAAGATCAGGTAACACAAATTCTCCGTTCCTTAAAATTCCCAACACAAAATGAATATTCTCCGTTCCTTAAAATTCCCAACACACTGAAAATTAGTCTAGTTTTTTCTCATTTTGTTTTCGCTGATGTTGTTTTTATACTCCCTCCAGTTCGATTTATTTTTTTGTTTTTCATTTGAGTGTTTCGGAGCTAGTTGTTTACTTATCATATGTAGTCAACAGACTACCGTGATTTGCCAAAAGCACCCCCAGAGACTTTTTTTGTTGGTGGAGGAATGCCCCTAGAGATTAGTAACATTATTGTGATCAATGAAGTACATGCTAATTTCAGGATTTTCTGTAATTTTACTCAGATTTATTAAATATGTGGTGTGCTGGAAAGTGGACATTTGAATCTCGATAGATTAAGTATTTTCTATTTTTTCCTAATGCATGTTCACTTATTGATGAATTGTAGAATCTGGTCACCCAACTCAAACTTCAATTCGAAGACATGGTCAACAGTTCACGACGTCGCTTCATCATCAATCTCAATGATTTCTACCATAATACAGAAGGCTCTAATCTGGCTCGCAGGTCCCTTAATGCTATTTTTTCATGTATCTTTTAATACATTCTGTTTATATTTTCTTTTTTTTTGAGGTTTTTATTTGCTTGATGAAATATATAGGCTTCTTCAGAATCCGAGTGAATATGTGCAACCACTATGTGATGCATTAACAGATTTGTTTCGCGTGCACTACCCCAAACACTTAAAGGAAGGAGAGCAAGTGCTCGTTGGATTCAAAGGCCCCTTTGTTTCAAGAAAAGTGACACCAAGGGAGCTCCTATCCAGTTTCATTGGCTCTATGGTTTGTGTCCAGGGCATCGTTACAAAATGTACGCATCCCTCATTATATGCGCTTCTAAATAATTGCATGGTTTTTTAATCAGTGATTATTAAGATCTATGATTTAACAGAATTTAATTTTGATGGTTCATACAAACACAACTTGCTGTATTGCTCGAAGTCACTAGATTTATGCATAGAGGGCATTGATTATGCTAAAATGAATTGTAATTGTGGTAGCTAAATTTTGGAAAGGAAAGTTTAGTAACATTATATAGTTTACACAGCCATGGTTTTAGCTATCAGGCAAATGATATTATACACAGAATGTGTATTTGTACTTAAGTGCATGTACTTGCACATGGCCACATGCCCACATGCACACTAATTCCAGAATGTGTATTAGTACTTATTACTATTAGACAACATGTTTCTTTTAATGGTTCCAGTAGCAGATTCAACTATATAAAGAAAAACACTGTTGATGTCATTGCAGCTAACCTATTCAGTTTACTGATTTAGTAATCTGCTTATACATTGGAGTAATTTGCTGTTTAATTATGTCTTAGGCTCTCTTGTGAGGCCAAAGGTTGTAAAGAGTGTTCACTTCTGCCCTGATACCAACAAATTCATGACCCGGGATTATAGAGATATTACATCCAACGTGGGATTGCCAACAGGCTCTGTCTATCCAACACGGGTAATCCTCTAAGAATCTGCTCCAAAGTTCTTTAGTTTTCAAAAGAATGGGCTATTTAAAAATTAAAATACATTTCAGGATGAGAGTGGCAATTTGCTAGTTACTGAGTATGGTCTTTGTACATACAAAGATCACCAAACATTGTCAATTCAAGAGGTGCCTGAGAAGGCCTCTCCTGGTCAACTCCCTCGAACTGTAGATGTCATTGTTGAGGAAGACCTTGTTGATTCATGCAAGCCTGGAGACCGTGTGGCTGTTGTTGGGATATACAAGGCAGTTCCTGGAAAAAGCAAAGGAAGTGTGAATGGAGTATTTAGGTTGTGAAAAGTTCATCATTAATATACTTCTGTATCAATATGTTTTTTATCATTTTTATGATTATTCATTGCTGAACATTTCTAAAATATCCACTTAATTTTTTTTGTGTAGGACTATTCTCATAGCTAACAATGTCTCTCTTCTCAACAAGTCAGCCCATGCACAAAACTTGACATCACGAATCATAAAACAAATTGAAACAATTTCTGCAAGGGATGATGTATTTGAGCTTCTTGCAAATTCACTTGCCCCTTCTATTTATGGGCATCTGTGGATAAAGAAAGCAGTGATTCTATTAATGCTCGGTGGGGTTGAAAAGAACTTGAAAAATGGAACTCATTTACGAGGGTGAGATAAAAGTTGTTTGCTGGGTCTCCATTGTTCCATTTTTGTTCTCAGTTCCTCCCTCCAAATAGAAACAATAGTAGATGTGTTAGAAGACATTCTCATTGCTTGTTTCGTTGAGTTGCACCGTTTTAATTTTGTAGTGACATAAATATGATGATGGTTGGTGATCCTTCTGTTGCAAAGTCTCAACTGCTAAGAGCAATTATGAATATTGCCCCTTTGGCAATATCAACAACTGGCCGGGGTTCCTCTGGAGTGGGTTTGACAGCTGCTGTTACTTCTGATCAGGAAACAGGTAATGCATCTTCATTGCAAAGCTAAAATGCGTTCCGGAACTAGCCAAGTCTTAATTTGTATCAAGTATGGGGGTTCGATGTGCATGCATTTTTTAGTTACCCAAGTGTGATCCTTCACATCTTCTTTTGCTACTATGTTTTTGCTTTTTCAGCGTGATGGGTGGTCCATTCACAGGCCTACAAATACAAGGAGTAACCTGTTTTTTTAATGAATTTACTGTTATCCCCCCTCCACACACCAAATGAAAAAACATAAGTTGTGTCTCATCATGAACTCAAGTCATTTCTAGAACTTTTTTCAATGAAAGTGGCATTGTTTTTTAATTGGAACAGGAGAAAGAAGACTAGAGGCTGGTGCCATGGTTCTTGCTGATAGAGGTGTTGTTTGTATTGATGAGTTTGATAAGATGAATGACCAGGATCGCGTGGCTATACATGAGGTTATGGAGCAGCAGACAGTAACAATTGCTAAAGCTGGAATACATGCATCTTTGAATGCTCGGTGCAGTGTAGTTGCTGCTGCAAATCCTATATATGGATCTGTGAGTTGTTTACTTTATTAAAGCTACTTAAGGACATTCCCTCACACTTGCTGATTTTCTCATCCTTGCTAATGACAGTATGATCGCTCAATAACTCCAACAAAGAATATTGGACTTCCAGACTCTTTACTATCACGTTTTGATTTGCTATTTATTGTTCTGGATCAAATGGATCCAGGAATTGACCGCCAAATCTCTGGGCATGTTTTACGTATGCATCGGTATAGATCAGCAACAGATGAAGGTAGCAAAGTTCCTAAATTGTAAAATTTTAATACAGGGTATGTTTTTATTTTGCTTCACCTCTAGATCATAAAAACTCAAACTGTTAGGTGGCGCAAAAGAGGAGAAGTCAATGTATGAAGAAGAAAATGAAGATGATAATAATTTCACTGTATATGTCAAATATAACCGCATGCTACATGGAGCAAATAAGGGGCGAGGTGACAAGAGAGACACCCTCACCATCACGTTTCTCAAGAAATATATTCGTTATGCGAAGGAGAGAATTCAACCTGGTCTGACTGATGAGGTTTTCTGCTTTCAGAATGAATTTCAATATCCATTCATATTTCCTTTTATATTCTTGTTTATTTTTCAGTTTCGAGCATCTATACAGTATGTTTTGCAGCATCTAGATACAGGGGCGGATGCATATTTAGATTAATAGGGGCACTTGCCCCCAGTGACTTAATATTTTTTTTTGTAATATATACCTCTATTTTTTTTAATTTCAAATATGCCACCTCTAAAAAATGACATGCCCCCATTAGATTTTCAAAACCTCACTTGTGTAAAAAAAGAGGTCAAATCATTTTTAAATCCTAAATTAAAAATTAGTTTTTGTACTCTATTTATATATAAATTCTAGATTTACAATTTTTAATTTGCGTAATCATAAATTATATAATAATTCACAATATTGAGATAAAATTTAACTTTACTTTTGTCGTTTCACATTGTCTTTCAGAAAATAATCAGGGCCGCTGCCCCCAAACCCTTGCTATATAAATATTACCCCCCCTCCCCCCGGGTGCTCTCTTTTTCTGGATCCACCACTGTTCAGATATTAAGCATCTCTAATATTTTCGTTTTCAAAATGATGATTTTGAATGGTGTAAATCCATTGCTGAAAATAGAGTTCTGCAGGCATCTGAACACATTGCAACTACGTATGCAGAACTCAGAAATGCCAGTGCAAATGCTAAGGTTGGTGAATATTGATTATAACAGATGAAGAACTTTGCATGATAACTAATTGTAATGTATTCTTCATTTAATAGACTGGAGGAGGAACACTTCCGATTACTGCTAGAACATTAGAAACAATAATACGGCTATCAACAGCCCATGCCAAGCTGAAGTTGAGAAGACAGGTATGCATCTTTTACCAGTTTCAGTCTATTAGAAACAGCCCATGCTAATCTGAAGTTTAGGAACCCAAGGAAAGACATTTCGTGTACAAACATCAGGTTACTTGCATAATAATGCACGTTACTTCTCATGGGTAAAAAGAAAGTGACAGCTGTTTTAAGTCTAGACATGTTTTTGCTTCTTGATAATTCTTGTTATGCTCTTGTCATGTATGAGATCATGTTTTGCAGGTCCTGAAATCCGATGTAGAAGTTGCTCTCCAAGTTCTAAACTTTGCAATATATCATCAAGAGCTGACAGAAATGGAGGAGCGTGAGAAAGAAAGAGAGATTGAGATGGAGAGGAAACGTAGAGCTGAACGTAATGATGGTGACAATAACAATGAAACTGGTAACACTACTGCTAATGTGGATGGAACTGGGAATGACAGAAGTAAAAAGAAAAAGAGTAATAATGATGGCAGTAGCTCTGCTACAAGAACGGAGTGAGTAACTTACAACATATCTGAGTGATTCATATCAACAAGTATGCATTTTGATGAGTGCACAACACAACCTTATGAAGATCTGGTTTACGCCTTGGAGGCCTGAATTTGTTCATTGAAAAATCCAGGACAAGGTGTTATACAGTTATGTATTTTACTCCTGATATCATTTCTTTTTTCTTTTTTTGTTGTTGTTAGTGAATGCGATGCCATGGCAGTAGATGACCCTCCTTCATCTGAGCCTAGCATATCCACAGAGAGGTATATGTGTCCTATTCTTTCAGATTACTAGATCTTTCAAAGCTGCAATTCGTTTTTTGTTTACTTCTTTTCCTGTAATTTATGGAAAGTGTAATTCTTTTTTAATTGCTTATAGATTCGAAGCATTTAGGTCAGCCCTTGGAAGGCACATGCTCGTACATCACATCGTGGGACAAATGTCAGTTGCTGATATCAGTGGTGCTGTAAACAATGAAGCTGTTCCACCTTATTCTAGCACAGAAATTATGTCTTTTTTAAAGGTATGTATAGCCACATGCATACTCACAATTAATTCTAGAAGCAAATAAATCATTGGTTCACACAATCACCTTCAATAAATTAAACTTTTGATTCTCCGTATTTGTTGAACTCATTTTATTTAGTACGGAGTACTTTACATTCCGTATTATATAAAGACTAAAATATCTTAACATATACGTAGTACATTAAAACTTAAAGCATATTTCATTTTCCATTGCATTTTCAAGACAGCCATACACAATGCAATGCCTTACCTTAGCATGTTTTGGATTCCAAACACCATATAAGTGCTGAATGGCATTTGTTGTTTGGGTTTTCGGGTAAATGCTAAGGTATTATATTGTATTGTGGGTTGACTCAAACGGTAGAAAACAAATCATGACACTAACTGGACAATAAATCATATGGTTTTGCAGATAATGCAGGAAAAAGGAAAATTGATGATAAACAGTGTGACAAACACCGATGCAGATATCGTCTACTTCACGTAACGTGTAGTTTTATAGTTTGATCAGAGGACATTTCCAGGTAATGTGTTCTTCTTTAGGCTGTTTGCTTGTATTATGAATTGTGTCTTGGAGTATTGCTACATTGTCCTTGACCTTTTTCAAGACATGATTTCACTCCCAATGTATATTTATTATGGAGTAAATGGGGAGTGTAATTGTCACTCTCCAAATTACTTGGGCATTCCTCTTAAGTCTCACCTTTTAAATTCCAAAATTATCCTCGTTTTAAATGTATTAGAGCCAGACCCTAGGCTTGTCAAAAACTATGTCCTAGTCAATCTCTTCAGATGAGGTTGTGCGTTGTTTGTCTGGTGGCGCTGCCATAACTAATCAGGCATCAAGGTCTTGCCCGGTTGCCATTGGGCTAGGCGGTATGGTTGCGGGAAGGGAGATCGGGAAGCTACGTGGCAGTGGTACCCTATGGGAACATTGACGCGGGATGCGAGATAGCCTTTTTCTTTTTTTTCCCTCCATAAACTTCTTCCTCTGAAAAATTAATGACTAGGATTTGTGAAAATATTTGTATACGTTATGTATGCACTGTAATATAAATTTAATAAAATTAGGTACTTTTATGAAGTAATTTTGATATATAAAATTTTAGACGGGGCAACATATGCACAAATATAATTATTGACAGTCAATATGCAGCATTAGTAACTATAAAAAGTCAAATTTAGGATCTCTCCATTCTTACTAATTCAGAATGTATAACACTTCTCTTGCAGTACAAACTTCTCGCCCACTTTTGGCCAAAATTACCCCTCTGTTCTGAAACTAATTTCTCATTTCAATTTATGAGTTTTGACCAACTTCATTTTCAAGTTAATTTATTTGATTATATGTGTCATAGTTTTCAGAACCGGACCGGTGATCGAACCAGTGGTTCAACTGGTCGAATCGGTGGTTTAAACATATTTAAAAATTTTATAAATATGTATAAATATATATATATATATATATATACATACATGTATATATATATACATACATGCATACATACATACATACATACATACATACATACATACATACATACATAGATATATATATATATATATATATGTACACACACACACATTCTCATTTATAAAATATCTAAAGAAAGTAGTTTATAACATTTGACTAAAATTATATTAATATACTTGAATTATTTTACTAAATTAAAAAAATAAAATTTACATATTAAAAATAATATTAAAACTTTATAAATGAAGAGTTAATATTATTTTTTCAAATAACTTGTTTAATATTGAAATCACGAAATCTTAGCATGATTTGCATTTTGTAATAGTATCAATAATATCAATGATTTTGTGTTTGACTCATAGGCTCATAGCTATATAATATTTTATTTTTAAAATTGATCTCATAGCTATAGGCTTTGGGATGTGATGGAATAAATCAAAATGGATCTATAAACTGTCTGCACTTCTTTAATTAAAAAAGTAGCAGTTAGTCAAGCAATGCAACTTTTGATGTTGAGCTGGGGGTCTCTTTGGAAACAGTCTCTCTACTTTCGAGTAGGGGCAAGGTCTGTGTACAGACACCCTCCCCAGACCCTACTCTTGTGGGATTTAACTGGATTGTTGTTGTTGTTTTAAAATTGAAAAGGGATTTTTATACGATCTTTTTATTAATTATGAAATATTATAAAAATTATGTGAACTTGTAACAACAAGCATCATTGCTTGGATGGTTAGAAACTCAACCAAATAACTAAGAAGTCTTGGGTTCAAATCCCCACGGAGTCAAGTTTTGGAAAAAAATCGCAAAAAATAATAATTGGGTGGACCGGTCCGACCGGTTGGTTCTTATTGGTTTTTACTGATTCGGACCGGTTTGAAGCACATTATGGTCCTTGGACTGGTTGGACCACCGGTTCGCCGGTTCACGGTTTGAATTGGCCGGTCCGGTCCGGTTTTAAAAACTATGATATGTGTAAAACTTAAACATAAATGTATACATTTACTTTGGAAAACCTATAGGCTATATCTAGGGGCGGAGGTGGGGGGGCATGCCTGGGAAGTGCCCCCCTCGCGAAATTCTGGCAAATTAGGATTAGCAGCCATTTGCCGGATTTGCCCCCCTCCCCTCGGATTTTTCGCTGCGTTCTCACGTCAGGTCCGGCAGCCGATCGAAGAAGAAGATGGAATCGCGAAGAATTTTAAAAAACAAAACGATGTCGTTTTGTGAATGGGCTTAAAAAAATCCTTTGACCTAGCCCAATACTCCAAGAGACCAAGACCCAGTAACCCAAGCCTCAATTGCCCAAAAATTAAGAAAATACGGAGTACAAATCGGCTGCCAATAAAAAAATACGAAGTACAAATCGGCTTAGGCTGCAACGCAAATCGGCTGAATACGGAGATCAATTTCTTCTATTCTTGAGCTTTCTTAGAGCACTGGTAATACCTCTCACGCCGTGGGGCGTGATGAGGTGTTTTAACGCCGGAAGCGTTAAACACCGCCCCCATCGGCGTGATGTGCTCGGCGTCACTTGTTTGACGCAATCCCCTCCCTTTTTAACGCCTCTTTCTTCTTTTTTTATCCTTTTTTCCTCTTTTTTTCTCTATAAATTAAATTATTTTTTTTAAAAAATTCAACACAAATACAAATTTCTCTATCATATTTTTTAAAAAAATTATTATTCAACTATTTTTTATTTTTTGATAAATGTAATTTTTTATTTAATGAATATATTTTTTTTATTTAATGAATGTAGTTTTTTATAATGAATGTAATTTTTTTATTTAATGAATGTAATTTTTTTATTTAATGAATGTAATTTTTTATAATGAATACAATTTTTTTAATGAACTATTTTTTATAATGAATACAATATTTAAATTTAATGAACTAATTTTAGAAGATGTGTATTTAAAATGTAAAAAAAATGAAGATTTAAAGCCCCAGTTTGAAGCCCAGGGCTTCAAACCCATTTCCAGTGAAACTGTGAGTTAAGTTAAAGCTGACGTGGCAGAGAGAGAACGTTTGAAGCCCTGGGCTTCATGGGTATTTCCTGTGCTCTTATGTGCTTCTTTATCTAATCTTAAGATCTTCTCTCATTGTCTAGGTATATGTAAATTTTAATCATTCAATTTCGAAATTTGTTTCTTAATATTTGAAATTTTTGAATATTGCTAAATTATGTTTTGAATTTTGAATATTAATTTTGTTCCGTGGTTCTAGTGTGTTTGTTGATATTTAAATATTTGATAATTAATAATGTAATTTCAAGTTCTAGAGATTAAGATATATGAAATTCTTGTTTTAAGGTTATTGATATTTTATTTTGTTACTTTATTATTGATATTTTGTTTTATTAAGATATATGAAATTGTTATTTTATTATTGATATATTTTTTTGTTACTTTATTATAAATGTTAATGTAATTTCAAGTTCTAGAGATTGTAATTATATTTAGGGCCCTGTTGTGCTACTTTGAAAAAAGAAATTTTTAGAAGCATTGTAGATGAAGTTATTATGCAGCGCTTTCAAAAGTTGGCATGTCGAAAAATATTTCTACGGCCTCAAACAATTCTAACTTCTTTGCACAAATTGAAGGTATGTTTAGTTGCCTTTCCTAGCTTCGCCACTGGCTATATCAGAATTTTGCAAAACTACACATGACATGACTAGTTATACTATTTTATCAAATGAAAAATAAAAAATAAAAAAAATAAACTTTCACTGTATGAATAGTAAGGCCATAAGCCCATAACCTCTTCATCTGATCTGAATGCTTTTGATCTGATTGAAATAAATTCTGATCTGATCTGAATGTAATTATATTTAAAACTATTTTCGATTGATCTGGTTTGATTTCAATAAAAACATATTCCTTCCGTTCTTAAAAACACTTCCTCTTTCATTTTTTTCATTTCCAACAAAACACTTCCACTTTCTATTAAAAAACCATTTTTACCCTTACTTTTTCATACTTACCTATCACATCATACTTTTTTTCTAATAATTTATCCATAACATCTTACTTTTACCCATAACATCAGAGGCAAAATTAAAAGTCAATTATAATTTAACAATTCCTTATTTTTGCTTCAAGTCAAAATAGGAAGTATATAATAAGAATATAATAAGAACATGAAGTATATAATAAGAATAATTGAAAAGAACATGAGCCGATGAGAAAATACTTTTACTTATATGACCGTGGGAATACATGCACTATAAGGCAAATAAATGCGCGTATATATGCACATCTCTTGCTAGAATAAATGATAAATGGTGGGGTGGCGATTTAATTTTGGGACTAGCCTTGTGGCGCCGCCGCCGCCGCCGCCGCCGCCGCCGCCGCCGCCGCCGCCGCCTTTCTTTGTTTTGACATTATAAAAACAATAAGGCAGATCAGTAAATTAGCAAACACCATAAACCCCAGTACGAAAGGCAGTGCACGGCGAAACTTGTGAGTAGTACCGTCGTGATCCTCGCCGGCGGCTACTAGTAGCGGCGGCAGCACAATTAGGCCACTTATCACAAGCAACAACAAATTACTATTACCACCGGTATAATTATTAGAACAATTACTATTTTTCACTGCTCTATACATATTAACTTTTACCCTTCATTCATTAGTTCCGTTCGTTTAAATAACTACTCCAAGATGGATACAAAAAAAAAGAAAGCTAAATTGGCAACTTTGTCCTTAAAATCTACTACTTCCGTTCCACAAAACCCTTCCGGTTTTGACTTTGGGGAAAAATAAGGAACGTGTAATTTTAGTTGACTTTCCAATTTTGCCCCTGATGTGATGGAAAAAAGTAAGATGAAATAGTTTGGTTATTAGTGAAAAAGTATGATGGGATAGGTAGGGTATGTAAAAGTAGGGCTAAAAGTGGTTTTTTAATAGAAAGTAGAAGTGTTTTGTGGAAAGAAAAAATAAAAGAGGAAGGGTTTTGTAGAACGGAGGGAGTAGTTTGCATCAAAATTTGCTCTTTTGTACTCGGGTATATTTTTAAGGGTAAATTTGTTAATTTAACATAGATAGATCAAAGTGGATTTAGCCAAAATGATAATGATTTTTGAATATATCAAGACCAAAAAAAATACGCCTCCATCGCTAAATAAAAGTCCACATTTAGCTCGACACAGAGTTAACGAAAAATAAAATTATGTGGTTAAAAAAAACTAAAATATGAATAATATATATTCTCTCTGTCCCATTTTAAATTGTCTGTTTGC